CCCCATCTCTACCAAAAATACAAAAATTAGCTGAGCATGGTGGTACATGCCTATAGTCCCAGCTACTTGGGAGGCTGAGGCAGGAGAATCCTTGAACCCAGGAGGCGGAAGTTTCTGTGAGCTGAGATTGTGCTGCTGCACTCTAACCTGGGCAACAAAACAAGACCTTGTCTCAAAAAAAAAAAAAAAAGGCGGTGGATAGTGGCCAGGCATGGTGGCTCACACCTGTAATCTCAGCACTTTAGGAGGCTTAAGCGGGTATAGCTTGTGTCCAGGAGTTCTAGATCAACCTGTTCTAGACATTATAAAACCCTGTCTCTACTAAAAATACAAAAATGAACCAAGTGTGCTAGTGCTCACCTGTAGTCCCAGCTACATTGGAGGCTGAGGTGGGAGGATTGCTTGAGAACCTGGGAGGCGGAGGCTGCAGTGAGCTAAGACCATACCACTGCTCTCCAGTCTGGGCAAGAGAGCAAAGCCTGTCTCAAAAAAGAAAAAAAAAAAAAAAAAGACGAGAGGCTAGGTGCAGCATCTCATACCTGTAATCCTAGCACTTTAGGAGGCCAGGGTGGGAAGATCACTTGAGACCAGGAGTTCAAGACCAGCTTGGGCAACATAGTGAAATCCCATCTCTATTTAAAAAAAAAAAAAAAAAAGTGGACAAACAAAATGTAAAAGTAACGACATTTGCTTTGCTTTATAATTAGTAGAAACATGCTGAGTATAAGATTGAAAGATTAACTGTGAAGACGTGCCATAAACATATACATTATGTATTTTAGAGTTAGAAATGTAAGCCAAGCTACTCCAGTTTAATGAGTCTTGTTTAATCCAAAAAGTTACACAATCATTTAAATGGAAAACATGGATGTATTATTTACAAAAGCAATGGAAGTAAATCCTTTTGTTTAAAAAAAATCTGCAATATAATATTGCTTTTATTTTTAAGATTCGTAAAAGTGCCATTTTGTTTGGGAATTTGTGAATTATCTGCAAACTAACTCATCTTAGAGTGTGAAAGGATTCTTGGTTCTTGGTTAGAGCTTTTGTCCTTTTTCTTTGAGCCCTTTCTGTTTTCCCTTTGAATTTCTAGGCTGTTGCCCATTGTCTCCTGTTTTCTAGACAGAATAAATTCTTGGTTTCATTCTGTTCTCAGTGGAGACGCTGTCTGTTACATATTCATCACCTTAGAAAAACATTATTGAAATATTTCATCCAATGTATAGATCACTATCTGTTTCCATAGCTGTCTCAGTTTCTTCTGGTTGTTCATCTTCCAATATCATATTTAATAATTTATCACAGATTTTAATTTTTTATGACATACTCAATCATTTTTAGTTATAGAAGAAAAAATCAGTTTTAGTTGGATGATATAGTACCTCTAAAATAGAGAAAAGAATTTGGCATAAATATCAAACAGTCACAAGATTGGGATTTAAATCTTAGACCAAGTTGATTATCAGCCTTGTGAGTTCGGGTAACTGAGTCCTTAAACTAGCATCCTCATCTACCTAAAAGAGGGCGATTGCAAAATTTATTGAGCTAACAAACTTGTTTAATGTGTAACAGTTGTACAATTTTTCTTATGCCTGGAATAAGCAGTAGCTTTTATAAAATTATGAAATCAATTATTTCTTTCATTTTGAGATTGGCAGTTTTAAAAACATTTCTAAGTATACTTTTCCTTCATTCTCCTGGTGTTTTTTCCGTATAACTTTCAATTGTTTAAAATATATCTAGTACAAAAAATAGTTAATCGACAGGTGTAGATTTATACCTGCTATATACCAGGCATCCTGTGATGGACATTGTAGAGATTTTTAGAAGGATGTACAAGCGAGTGTCTGCTAGGAATACTTCTTCCCTTAGGGAGACACACATGCATGAAATAATTGGGGAGCCACTCAGTGCTTAGCTTGGCATACCTACATGGCGGGATCAGCATAGTAGTATTATGAAAGGGGTTCTGACTCAGGTCTGGAAGACTTCATATAGGAGGCATTCATTGTGCTAGGCCCTAAATAATTAGGACTACTTAAGATTTGACCAGAAAGAGAAAATACCCTCAGTAGGGGAACCACATGAATCAGGACTCTGGTTGGAGTAGAGGGAGTCTGAAGGAAAGGTAGAAAGTTAGGTAACTGCAGGTAAAGAGATTTGGATTTTATATGCTGATTGTTGTTTGAACTCTTGTTAGAGCTCCAAACATAAACAGGACACACATGGTACCTCTTTCCATGGAGTTACAATCAAGCAGAGAAGATAAACACTGAGTATGAAGTCATGACTGTGGGAAGTGACTTAGGTCCAAGGGGTCAGAGAGGAGTGCCTTGAGGAAACGGCATCTGAATAGGAGTTGAAGAGTGGAGAAGAGTATTCTAGGCACAGGCCCCTCGGGAGTGAAGGTTCTGAGGTGGGGAAAAGCAAAACAAAAGTAATTTTAAGTACAGGAACGAGACAGCACGGCTCAACATGGTAGATAGGGTAATAGTACGTTCAATTCCAAGCAGAAGTGTGCCTAAAGCAAGGACTGTCAGTAACCGGAGGATTTGAAAGAAGGGAGACGTGGCATCGATGCAGCCTAAGCTGTGCTTTCCAACGCGGCACTAGGGTGTGCCGTCTCACACGTGCTTGTGCAGCAGCCACAGAACCGGGCAGCCAGAGCCCTGCTGAAGAATGGCAGCTGTCTCAAGCAGCTAGCAGGGTTCTTAGCTTCTTCTCTGCCGTCTAATTGGGACCTGGAAAACCAGCAGGAAGCATTGGGTGGGAGTGTGGAGGGAGCCAGTGGTGGCAACAGAAGCCCTACAAGGCGCAGTTCCCACAGGTGAAGTGTGGAGAGGAAGAGTGGAGCAGGAAGGCGTGCGTCCTGGCTGATAGGGTTCTTAATGGAGCCCGTGCTCGGGGTGGGAGAGACAGTGGTTGTGGAAAGGTCCCATTTCAGTCCGGCGAGCTGCACTAGCTGAAAGCCTGTCCTGAGAATGGGGTGAGAAGTTCATGTTAAGTAGCACAGAGAGCACACACTCCATCAGAAGCTTCTCTGGGTCTCGTCTTTTCAGCCAGGCGTTCATGATAAATCTCCGGAATTATGATCCTCTTCTGACTTTTGTATGCTATAGCTCTCTGCCTTTCTGTTTCTGCTTATACTCAGAGAAAGTCATTATACAGTGGCAACTCCTTGCTTTCCAGGCTCCTCCCTCCACAGATAACCCTTCTCGCCCTGTAGGATGGTGCTGTCTACAGAAATTGAAGAGCCCTTGTGTCAGAATCACATACGGTAATTGGAAAGACACTGATTCCAGGATCCTCCCCCCACCCCCCCAGACAGTCTCAAGGGATGGACCCAGAGACCCATGCTTTCACCGTGTGCCAGTTTTGCCCCTCCCTTCATTGTAGGGCAGAAGCAGTAGGTTTGGCAGCTCTCTGTGCTGTGCATTTCAATATGAACTAGTAAGAACTGGTAAAAGTCAAAAGGAGAGACACCCAGATCACTGCTCTTACTGAGTTTGTAGTCCAAGGCTCCTGCAGTCCTCAGAGCCCTCTCTGTACCTCCATAACGGTATTGTCCTTTTCCTTTCATGTTGTCATTCTTTGCATACTTGACTGGCAGTAAGGAAAAGCCCAGAGTTTCATGAAGTTAAAGTTTGTGTCATGTCTTTCGGTTCTCTGCAGTGGTCAGCAAAATGCCCTGAACAAAATAAATATGGGTTGCACTGAAATGATTTTATTAAGATATTTAGTTTGGTTGTTAAGCTTTCTTTTCATTTAAGGCTATGTTTTATACCTAATTTTAAAATTCCACATTGGAATATAAGTATTCCATATATACTGTATGTACCAGTGTAAGTGTAAGCATTTTGTTTTCTTGCCTTGTCAAGCAAGAGCTTGGTCCTGTTTATTCTAAAACATGCCCTTCACCTGGTGACTGAAGGACATCTGTGCCAGTGCCCTGTCCATGACGTCATTGACAGGAAAGGCTACTCAGTATGTGGTTTCACTTGTTACCTCTGGTTAGCAGAGTGAGTTCTTTGTCATGTGGGTAGTGGATCTGTGGTAGTGTGAAGGGGAAGTTATGGGTTCTTGGATAGTTTACAGTAATGCATACTTGTCTGAAAATTATGGATCTGTTTTCCTGGTTTTTAAAGATTTATACAGACTTTACTGTTACTGTTTAATCATCTTAAGTTGTGTTAAATCACTGTCTGATTGAAATAGCTGTAATTTTATCTGTATGTCTGTAAGAATTTTGTGGACATTCTTTCCATTGTTGAAAGGAAGATGAGGTAATTTAGATAAACGTGTAACCAAATAATAATGTTGTTTTTTAATCTTTTTATCAATCAGCAATATCAGATGCTTCTTACTGGGTATTTTTTTTGGATGGTTGAACAAAATTAGTTGAATGGCTCTTCACCTTTTTTCCATCATATTCTCTTAAAAACTTACTTAGTTCTATATTATCTAGCATTGAATAGAAAAATGTCACACTTTGTAAAATACAGAAGATTCACTGTGAATACAAAAAATGCTTTATGAAAACGAGTAAAAAGAAACCACCAACACACTGTAGAATACCTTTAAATATCAGTAATTTGGGCCACTTAATGTAAATCTGTGTTCTTTATTCTAAATGCCTATCGAGGAAATGAGGAATATAAGTATACCATTGTTTTGCCATTTAAAGTTTTTTAGCTTCTAATCGAATGTGGATTTAACTACCTTAGAAAAGATGGAGCTTGAAGTTGAAGTGTACTGCTATGGCAGGAAGTCAGGGTTTAAATTGCATTTATATTTTTGCCTGAGTTTGCACATACTTCTACTGTATCTTCCATCTGTTTCATACATTTTTTTAAAAAATTCGTAATTATCAAAATCTAAAACTGAAACACTTAAGCAGTAGCTTTTAAAAAATAAAAATAGCCTTTAAAAAAATAAATGCAATGGTTCCATTTTAAAACTTCCATAAGCTCTTAATTTTCCTTTTTTCTTTACATCTGAAGTAGAACTGGAGAGTGCCTCCACCAGCAGATACATGAGACTGTCCACTAGCCTTCCTTGCAGGCTCTGTGTCCCAGGTGGGTTGTTTGAAGTCGTCACTTGATTTACTTTATCTTTTCTGTGCTTCTCTTTTCTCACTGGCAGTAGAAGAGGAGGCAGGTAAAACCATATAAAGGATCTACATGGGTTTGAAATACTGTTTTAGAAATCAGTTTCCTGGTTCCAGGATGGAAGACATTCTTAACCGATAGCAGTTCATATGGTGATGGACCTGACCTTGGAGTTAGGATCTCAAGAGTTGGTCTCACTGGCACAGCTGCTAAGCAGAATCATGCAGCCTTAGGTTGTGGATGTTAGAGGTCTGGGTGGGGATCTCTTACCCCTGCAGTGATGCTTACAGTGCTTCTCGATTCAGAATGGAAGTGGAGGACAAGGCAAGTGTTCTTTTCTCTTTTCTCTTTTCTCACTGTGACAGCATAGAGTCACAGTGCCACCAGCTGTGGCATAGAGTCCCCTGTGCCTGTGACACAGGCCTGTGACAGCATAGAGTCCCCTCCCACAGGGTTTCCAGACACCCCCAGGAGAGCTTTACTGCCCCTGTTGAGACCTACTGTCAGATGAGACCCACTGTCAGATGAGACCCACTGTCAGATGAGACCCACTGTCAGATACTTACGTTTGAGGAGCATTTAGAGGAAGAAGGAAAAGGGGCCCCTCATTGGTGAAGGGAGTGGGAATGGCCAAACTCATGAAAAAATGGTAGGCTTTTATATTTGCCTACATACTAACAGTTCTGCTGTTCTTTATTTCTTTCTGAATTTCCAAGTTTCCATTTGGTGTCATTTCCCTTTTTTAAAATCGTTTCATGCAGCACAGATCTCCCGGTGATGAATTCTCTCAACATTTATTTATCTGAAAGTGTCTTTTTTTGCCATTGTTTTTCAAAGACAGGTAGAAATTTTTGTGTGACAGAATTTTCCTTTCAGCACTTTAAAGGCGTTGTTTTGTTGTTTTCTGGCTTACGTTTTTTCTGATGAGAAATTGTTCGCTTTTATATAATGAGTCTTTAAAAAAAAAAAACTTTACTTTTTAGAACAGTTTTACATTTATGGAAAAATTGTGAGGATAGTACAAAGAATGCCCGCAAACCCCGCACCCAGTTTCCTCTGTTAGGTACCATGTGAGATGTTGATTTGTTGTACCACAGTGGACTAATGTTGATACATAATTATTAATCAAAGTCTATTACTTTATTCATATTTCCTTAGTTTTCACCTAGTTTTTTTTCTGTTCTAGGATCCCACCCAGGACACCACATTACATTTAGTCATCATGATCCATTAGTTTCCTCTTGGCTGTGATACTTTTTCAGACTTTGCTTGTTTTTGATGACCTCAACAGCTTTGAGGACTGCTGTTCCAGCATGTTGTAGAACGTCCTTCAACTGGGACATGTTGGATAATTTTCTTATAATTAGGCTAGGGATATGGGGTTTTGGGAGGAAGACTACAGGGATTTATAAAGTACCATTAGCATGCATCCTATCGTATCGAGTTTACGTGCTGTCAGTGTGAGGTACCACTGGTGATGCTGACTTCGGTCACCTGGCTGAGGTAGTGTCTGTCAGCTTCTCCACTGTGAAGTTAACTCCTGTTTTCCCCTTCCGTACAATAACTTCTGACATCACTGAGTACAGCCCACACTTGGAAAGTGGGGATTTATGCTCCATCTCCCTTAGGGTGGAGCATCTACAGAATTATTTGGAATTTTTGTGCATGGGTGATTTGCCTCTGCTCCATTTATTAATTTGTTCAGTCATTTATTTGTATCAGTATGGACCCATGAGAATTTATTTTATACTTTGGATTGTAATACAGTATAACTTTGTTACTCAAATTATCCCATCTTTGGCCACTGGGGATTCTTCGTGTTGGCTCCTGTGTCCTTTGACATGCCTCCATTGTTGTGGGTGTTGGTTTTTTGTTTTTTTGTTTTGGTTTGGTTTAGTTTTTGAGCACTTTCTTACTTTCTGGTGCTCTAAGATGTGCCAGGCTCCTTTTGCATATATTTTCTGCCCCTTGAACATTATTGAACTTAATCAGTAATGACACATCAGTCCTAGAATCAGCCATTTTTCCAAGGAACCCTGGTTCTGTTTATTGGCAGAGTAGTATTAAAAACCAAGATCCAGGCATTAGATGTAATGTTACTGCCGAGATGCCTGTTGCTTCTGGGCCTTCTCAGCTGACAGAACAAGGAAATACATGCATGTATCCTAACTCCTGCATATATACGTATCTATAAATATTTCTTTTTTTTTTTTTTTTTTTGAGACAGAGTCTCACTCTGTCGCCCAGGCTGGAGTGCGATGGCGCAATCTCCACTCACTGCAAGCTCCGCCTCCCGGGTTCACGCCATTCTCCTGCCTCAGCCTCCCATGTAGCTGGGACTATAGGCGCCTGCCACCATGCCTGGCTAATTTTTGTATTTTTAGTAGAGACGGGGTTCCGCCGTGTTAGCCAGGATGGTCTCGATCTCCTGACCTGGTGATCCGCCCGTCTCGGCCTCCCAAAGTGCTGGGATTACAGGCGTGAGCCACCGCGCCCAGCCTCTATAAATATTTCTATCTGTAATCATCTGTGTTGATGTTAAGCTAACAATGAGTTCATACTTAGGTCTCCAACTTTAATACATTGCCACATGGATCATTGTAGCTCTCTCTCCTTTCTTATCACTGAACTCCCACTCCTAAATGAAGAACCTGGCTCTTGCCATCCTACATCTATTTACTTAATTATTCAGTTCAGTGAATTCTCAGATTTATAAATTCTTTAATGTAAATAACAGATTTGGAGGCCTTTTAGAGTTCTAGTGCCTGGTGTGAAAGCTTCTGTAGCCCACTTTCCTCCCAACCTAAATCTCTCTTGGTTAGAATGCCTAACTCTGTACTTATCATTTCTTTTCCCACTCATTTAAAATTCTTTTATCAAAAACTTGTAAGAAAGCATAAATGTAAGCATCTTACTTGAAAGGGGCACAAAACTGGGGAGGTGAAATCTTGAAACATAAATAAGAGGAAGTATTCATTAAGTAAACCTGCACATGGGTTAAAACGAGTATAGCAAAGGTTTGTGGAGATGTGGCTTAAGTGACAGTTCAAGTGGAGAAGGAGAATGCTTGGGAACCTTCAGTCATGTGAACTCCGTGTATGCCGATGTATGCCGTGGCTTCAAAAAATTCTATTGAAATCTTACGCTGTATCCCTGTGGACACAATCAGATGTAGGGAGATGTTAGTGTCATGCTACTCTTGATACTGAAAGTATTGTATTTGTAGTTAACATTTACGTAAGTGAAGACACTGGAAAACCAGTGTCCAGAAAAGAATAGGATAGGAAATCTCTGTGCACAGGGTCTTATGAAGCATAATTTAGAATGTCAGCGTCATAATGAATAATGTTAGTAGCTGTTTTAACCGATTGAATGAAATAGGAACCATGAATCTATACTGATCTAAAAAGTAAAAGTAAACTGAAGGTTTCATGAGGATGGAATATTTACCTAGCCTCAAAGCACCTCCCCACAGAATATGTACTAATTACAAAGGGAAAAAGAGGAACTTCACGGTGCAGATGCCTGGAGGAATCACCTTTACCGAATTATCAAACTGGACTTTATCAGTAATGGCAGATAAAAAAAGCTGTGGGCCGCCTGGCGGTGCACACCGCGAAGAGCACGGTGGGCCACCCGGCGGTGTGCGCTGTGAAGAGCACTGCCTCACCTCTGTGTCGTTACTGCCAGCAGCACCTGGCCTGAATCTAGCACAGGGAAATACCTTCTACAGATCAACTGGGCCGTGGGTAGTCTTCAAAAGTGCTAAGGTCACAAACACCAAGAAAGACTGAGGGACAGTTGCAGACAGACGGAGATGGCTGTGACGTGACGACTGAGTGCAGCGTATGACTCTGATCTGAGCTGCTGTGAAGAACCTTATTGGGAAAGTCGCAGAAGCTTGGATGGACTTTGGGATTAGATGGTAGTGACACATCTGTGTTAAGCTCCTTATTTGGGGGTTGTATTCTGTTTATAAATTTGTTTGTAGGAAAATGCCAAATATTCGGGAGTGATGAGGCGTCATGCTAGCAACTTACTCTTGAATGGTTCTGGGTTTTTTAGAAAGAGTTTTTATATGATATTTCCAATTTTTCTGTAAGTTGTAGATTATTTAAAAAAAGATTTTGTTTTTTTTTTTTAAATGAATGATTTAAAACTCTAGAATTAGTATGGAAAAAAGACTGAAGTGGGGTCCCGGGGAGGCTGTCTTTGAACATTTTAAGAATTGTTATGTCAAAGAAGAATTCTCATTGATTCCAGGATGTGCAACTTAAAGTGGGAATGTTTCTTATATCCGATGACATCTTAGAATTTCTTGACAGATTTTTTTCTTCATGATACATAATGATGTACCTTGTGGTTGATGGTATTTTATACATCAATAAATGAAAAACAGGTTTTATTCAGTGGTGTTTTTCCAGAGGAGAGAACCAAGAGCCACAAACAGACATTTAGAAATTTAGATTTTGGCTGTGTGCGGCGGCTCACACCTGTAAGCCCCGCACTTTGGGAGGCTGAGGTGGGTGGATCACAAGGTCAGGTGATCAAGACCATCCTGTCAGGTGATCGAGACCATCCTGGCCAACGTGGTGAAACCCCGTCTCTACTAAAAATACAAAAAAATTAGCCGGGTGTGGTGGTGTGCACCTGTCATCCCAGCTACTCGGGAGGCTGAGGCAGGAGAATCGCTTGAACCTGGGAGGCAGAGATTGCAGTGAGTTGAGATTGCGCCACTGCACTCCAGCCTGGCCACAGACTGAGACTCCATCTCAAAAAAAGAAATTTAGATTTTAAGGAAAGAAGACTTGTCTAACACTTAAATCCAGGTGACCTGCGGATAGAACCGCTCAGCTGAGAGGGATCAGTAATTTATAGGAGTTCCTGTACTGTGTTGAAAGTTGGCAGCCCCTGGGAACTCTTAACTGAGAGTCTGTGGCTCTCCACCGATTGGTGGCTTGTCTACA